ATAATTTGAAAAAAAAAAACATTTCAGCCACGTTTTTTTCCCTCAAATTTTAAGCTCAGCTGAAAGCATATTCCAATGTTTGATGGCTGTAAATGAGAAAGCAGATTGCACAAAGGCCCCCCCCCGCAGAGGGAAGTTTAAGTCTTAATTTAGAGCGGATCGAGATGTTCTGCTCATTTGCTCCGAGCAGAGCTGAAAAAAACTCTTCAGTGGTAGCGGAGCAGCGTTGTGAATAATTTTAAATACCAATCTGCAGAGGTTGTTTTTAGACAGTATGTGACAATGATGGTAATTTAATGATTTTCTGTAAAAAAAAACATTTTAAGGCTTATTTGAAAAGAAACTCTATTGGTTTCAGTACAGTCTTGCTCACACCAGCAGGAAATACAATAATGAAGATGCAAAAAAAAGTCCCCATACTATGCAAGCCACTGCTTCCTGAGGTGTTTTTTTTTTACTGCTTTAATCTCTTCAGAAAAAAATCAGTTTCATGATAGTTTTACTATACTGTAGATTTATTTTCTGGTATGGCATAAGGTACTATGAAACCAATTACCCTTATCTGTTGCTGCGACAGAGAAGAAGCTAGCCAGAGGTGAGAGGCAGTTTAAATCCAGAATGCTCAGCTCTTGTAGTTGAGAACAAAAATAAACACACAACGGCTTCTGAATTTGTGTAACACTTAATGCAGGGTACGCTGTCTAAAACAGCTGACTTTATTATCAGGTTTCAACAAATTTGAAGAAAAATAAAATGTGAATCAAGATTAGATTGGATGTTACTAACACTGTGGTTGACGGATGTTTAATTTAACTTGTTTGACCTTCAGGTTTTTTCAGTCTAGCCTTGAAACAACTCTTACTAATGACTCAAACTTCTTTTTCAAAATTTCATTAAAACATTTTTGTTGAAGTTGTCTATTGTGTTTGTCAGATTTACAGCACCTAAGCATTGAATGGATTTTCCCTCCTACGCGCTCTTCTGCTGTTTGATGGGAAAATCGTGGAGGGCTGACCTGGGTCAGCGTCTCCTCTGGCTCTTCAAGACTAAAGGATGGGTCTCATTGACATCGGGGAAGTAATTAGCAGTTAGCAGCCTTCGTGTTCACAGTGCTGAGGATGTTGGCTAGGTCTCTGATCTCTGAGCCTCTCATTCAAGATGGAAACCTCTCAGACACAGCAAAGAGACAGGGGAGTACTGCCACCTCCCTAACACTGCTGCTCAGCGCTGACATAAAGCCAAGGAGCACATTGTTTTGCTCAGCAGGATAATTGGATTGCTAATTGTTTGTGGGGAATATGCAGGCTGAGCAGCAGAGTGACAGAGTGGGAGCCATGCAACCATCACGCCGAAACAAAATTTCACCCCCGACTGATTCTTTAACCATTACATCGCTTTATATTCCAGTGTGATGAATCCACGCCAAAAACAATGATGTTAAAGATGAACACATTAGACAAATTTGTTCAGGAGAAACACAAAAATCCATATGGTAACATTTGATTCCACCTCATCGTCATCAACAGTCCCCAAAAATGCTGTATTGCGGAACCTCCCTTTAATTACTGGCATTTTGCAAAGAAAGAAAATGTCTTGGCTAAGTCATATACAGTTTTTTTTTTCATAACAAGTGAGGTTACTTAGAAAAGTGACTATTTGACCTGTGAACTGTTTAACCATGTTCTGAGACACATTGTACACATTTAAGATTGTTTGGGGTTTTGTGCCTATAGGATCTAAATGTATCTAAACCTTTGTCGCCCGACATTCAATGAATACTGTAGTGTCCTTCAGAGTTCTCATAATATCTTGTGCCATGTCATTAATCTGCCGTGCGATGATTCTCTGAGACATTCACTTTACAGCTGATTTTTCCTTTTGGGTTAAAGAGCAGAGGATGTTGCACCTTTTTTAAGCCCTATGAGAAATATTGTGATATGTGAATATGGGCTGTAACAATTTGATCGACTGATTGATTGAGTACTTGGCTTGTTCTGTTATTGAATAGACATTTTCGGTTGTGTCAGTTTCTTCTGTCTGATGTGTAATTAATATAATCAAGGCTTTTTTAGAGGCTCATGTCATTAATCAGGGAGACGTGCAGCCAGTCATTAAAAACTATCCTCAGATACAAGAAGACCAAGATTGTTGGTTCTGCAACAGAACATGTGGCCCCCACAGAGCCCCAAGATCTGTAAGTTCTCCAAAAGGTCTGAAACAACCTAACTGCGCTTTAAAAAAAGGTAAAAGGGGGTCACACTATATTTTGATTTCATTTAATTTTCTGTATTCACTGCACATTGCATGAACAATGTATAGCATGTTCAGGGGAGTGTCAGACTTTGATTCAGTTAGTATTGTAAAATGTGTAAAATGTGTCACTGCTACATGTCTTTTTTTTAAAGACATTTTGACACGCCACAGAAGGAAAACCAGTTTGAATAATAAAATGAATGGTGTCGCAAATGCATTCAGCCTCCATTTCTCAAGGGTGGACATGTCAAAACAACAATACATTCAGTGTGTGTGACAAGTCAAATTGCACTGAATGTAGAATTTAGTGATATCTAGTGTTGAAGTGTCATGTTGCAGCTGAACACCCCTCACCTCACCCTCTTCTTACAAACATGAAAAAGAAATTGTGGTAGCTTCAGTTGTCATAAAAACTCAAAAGGTGTTTAGTTTGTCCAGTCTGGACTAATGTAAAAAACATGGCAGCCTCCGTAGAGAGGACCCCCTCCATGTTAATATAAAATATTTAAATATAAAGGGCCTTTTCTGGGGTAAAGAAAACTACAATTCATACAATTTAGATGAAACAAACTAGTGAAAACATCATGAGGATTATTCTACATTAAATTACTGCCAATAGTTCCCTTTCACCTGAATCTTACACACTGGACCTTTAAGCCCTGTTTAATTTTGCTCCACATGTTCAATCATATTTGTATGATGTAGCCATCTTGCAATGCTTAAACACTGGCTCCACCAGATCATTGTAGCTTCAATTCAGGATGTATAGAGAAATGTTAAAAAAACCCAAAAAACTATTTGTATTGTAGCTTTCCAGCATAACCCGTTTCGATGTAAACCACTGGGGCATGCCAACATAATATAAACATTTTGTGTATAAAGAAAACAACCTATACATTGGCATATCAAACATATTTGAGACTTACCTTCATGAATATGGACACTATGACAAGTCCATTGGGGCTTTTAGCAGCTTCTGTATAGTTTGTGTAGAGCTCATGATTGTAGTGGATCAGTTGAACCTGAAACATGAAGAAAAGACATTAGTAGAGATTAACTGAAAGGAAATCACGATCTGACATTTCCTGGCTGATAAATGCTATGACAGTAAGAACACAAGGCTGATCTCCACGCTGAGGACAAAATAAAAATGTCAGAGTTAAACACACTTGTAGAAAATCTATATCCGGTTGCCTTTTCGTCAATAATCTCCCATTCTGTTAAATCCCTCCATCCTACTGCAACGTGTCAGATGTTTTTAAAGGGGAAATCGATATTGGATCAAATCTGTCCCATGGATTCACAGTCCGTTTAATGAGAAGCGCTGGTGTTCAGAACATTTTTATACTCAGTGTAGATGTGGATAGAAGTAATAAGGGATATAAAAAGGCAGGGATGCTGTCGTCGTTTTATCCAAGGCCAGCCGGCTCTAACAGGCTGAGGTGAGACTGTATAAACCATCTCCCAGCATGAGGTTAACGTTTCACTGACACAGCTGCTTCATCCACTACAGCTGTTAAATATTCCTGCATTTTAATGATGTTTGGACGTTGGCAGGAGGTACTGCTCCATTTCCAAGCACTAAAAGTGGCTTTAAAGTGATTTTAAAGAAGTTCCTCCTGAATGACAAAATGTCATCCTATGAGTTTTGACAGAATTGAATAAATATGACCACAGAGAATCCTCTCTATAGCTCTGCATCCATCCTGTTGCTTTCTTCAGCAATGACATTATCCTTGTTTGCCAGTTCCATTGGCTACCATACACAAACAAGCCGTAACAGAACCACTACCTGTTTGACAGATGAGGGGGACATCTTGGGGTAAGGGTGGCTCATTGTTTTTCTTTACAATTTCCTCTCTAATTTTGGTTGACTTTTGTTTCATCAGTTCAGAGAATGGACTTTCTCTTTGTTTAGATATACCAGCGGTTTACATCTCGTGGTAAATTCACTACATAAAGTCTTCTCATGACTGTTGACAAGGTGGCCTCAGACTAGAGCATTATTGATTTGCTGAACAAATAAATTAATTTTCCTTCACCAAACAGATGATTCTAAATGCCCTTGGTGTTGCTATTTTCTAGTTTGTTAATGTTTTATCGTAGGCTACCCAACTGCTGGGTGTTTCTGTAGCTATGTACAGACTTACTGTACTTGCCTTTTCCTCGTATTGACAGAAAAAAGATTCTTGACTCTGAATCAACTCTGACACACAGGTCTTTTGCGAATTAACTAAAAGTAAAAGCGACACATTTAGTAGCCAAAGGTTTGAACCCTTGGAATTTGCACACTAAATGGAAAATGTCCTGTATTTATATTTATATTATAATCTTGATGACCACTCAAAGCACTTTACAGTACAGTTTGGATATTAACCCATTCACACAGTGTATCTGTGAGCTTTACTTTCTTGATCCCACATTATTTATCCAACATTGGCACACTGTTCAGGGGCAATGTGGGGCTCTGTGTCTTGTCAAAGGACCCTTTGGCACGCGGAATGGGGTAGACTGGGATTTAACTGCCAACCTTTCACTTTATGGATGAACCGCTCAATGTCCTGAGCCACAGCCGCCCACTCTGCATCACGTAGGTGAGATCTCCCACACAGTTCTTTCGATATTGATATAAACCTAAGGTCCCATATTGTACAATGTGATATTTCTATGACTCTGATTATAAAGCAGGTAAATACATCAAAAAGCTGAATCTATGGAGAAATGCACACAGCCTCTATTCAGAGACTGTGCTTAAAACAAGTTGTCACAGTTTCTCTAACTTTGTGATGTCACAGCGATGCAGTCACACAATGACTCAGCCATGGCCCCAGCACAGCATGTCTAACCTTGCAGGATTTTCATCAAGAACACTGATCAACATTTGAAATATTTAAATACCATTTTAGAATTTTAGTCTATTCACTGTATTTCCAGCTCATTTAAACACTGACCATTACCACTTGCATTTATCGAGGGATCTTACCAAGCTGCAGTAGTAAGCACAATCTGTTAACTGCGGTTAGCCTGGTCATGCATCACTCAGAAAACAGTCAGCCAAATGGAAGAGAGGCTCTGACCGCCTGTTCTGTTTCCCTGACTCTTGAACAAATGTCATGTTGCCTGAGCTCCAGAGAAAAGAGCTGTAAAACTACATTGACAAGATCTTTTATATGCATATCTTTATATGGATATAAAAACGTTGAAATGAAAACTGAAAAAGTGTAAAATATGGGACGTTCCAGTTTACTCATGGGCATCTTTGTGTATTTATTCAGGTTACTGTGATATGACAAACCTGGTTAAAACTTTCTAACAGGGCTTAAAACACTATAGCAGTGCATTGCATCAGTCAATGTAAGGTGTGACAGCCCGAATTTCTGTTATGTTGCAGAAATGTCAAAGTCTGTTTCAACCTGTTGATTATTCACACATAGTATTTGATCCAAGCTAAAACATCCAGAACCAGACATTACACTATACTTGCAATGCATGACTAGTTCTGTCAGAGTTGGATTAACAGATCTGTTGCAAGACTAAACTAAATGGGAAAACAGATTTCTCTGTCAATACTGTTAAAACAGTATAACTACAGCCTGATTTAATCTTAAAAAAGTTAACTTGCCACTGCTCCTGGCCATATTACTGTAATCTTAGCTTCATATTTATTGCCCTTTGGCTGCAGAACTATATTTTCTATAGCAATTTACACAAAGAGCTGTTATGAATATAAAGGTAGTAAAGCTCTTATTTTTTGAGCACAAAAGGTGGGTAATGACTTTTTAGATCTTTCCCAAAGGCCCTCAGTCTCTCTCTCCTCACCCTCATAAACCTCTCATCCTCGCTCATTGGCAAAACACTCGGCACATACTGTACTGGCGGATATAAATAAACAAATGTAAGAGGAGAGTAATTATGAAATGCTCGACTGGGGGAGCGCAGAGCGACAGAACGTCTATAAATGCAATCAAGGCGAGAGAGGAAGTGATTAGGGCCCTGCGCTGATCTGATTAGATTTTTAGGTGAGAGTGGCAGAGGCAGCCAAAAGAACTCATCCACACTCCCTCAATGACAAACTGCACAAAGTTTGCTGCTGGTGGGCAATAAAAGGCCAGTGTGGGCCATAATAAAGTGAGAACGTCTGCCAAACAGAGAAGAAAAAGAGGGCGATTCAAAGAGAAAGAGGGCGAAAATAGGGATTGTAATTAGATAGAGAAACATTTGAAGAAAGGGCAGAGGAGAAGAGCTACTGCTTGTTGGCCAGCAGCTCTACATCATCTATCACAATGTCCCTCTCTTCAAACAGACTCACACTAACTACTGAATACAGTAACACACATCCATAGCCATAACATTCTGCTCCCACTTTGTTAGCAATATTAGCAAACAGCATTTAACCCCAATCTGTGTTTGGATTCTGTTGCCAACAACCAAATGAAAAGCGATTGGGCAAATCAGCATTTGTTCCACTAGCATGTGCAAATGAATCGATATCTATATTTGCTTCAACTCATATCTGCACCTGTACTGGAGACTAAACCGTACAAACTGTCAATTTAAACAAGGTGAAATATGTTTTTTTTAAAGAACGATATATATATTTTGTTAGAATCACATGAGGCTCTGACAGCAAAATTTCACTCTAACCCTCAATCGATATTTTTAAAGGGGAATCTGATTGTGAACACATGAATTTGTAAATGCATTGGGAATGTTTAGCACCAGTAAGACCAGGTTTGGTAATGGGAAAGTTGGATGAGGAGATTTAACGTATAATGTCAATATTGTGTAAATAAATATGACAAATTAAAGAACCAGAATTATGTCGGTAATGACATAAAAGCTGTAAATTTGTATCCAAAATTACAGAGGTTGAATGTAAATGTAGCTAAGATATAAACATAAAACTAAAATAACAAAGAAACATATACAATTAAACTAAACCATATATTTAATTGGAGATGATTACTGTCATTTTCCATTATTTGGTTATTTAAGAAAGCAGAACATTGGAATTTGTAATTCCTGGCAAAATGATTTAATCAGAATTGTGTTTCTGTCCCATTTGATGCTCTGACTGGTTTTGGTCTCTGAACACCGGACCAAAATGAAGCACAGATATCATCACATGAACAAAGTGTGGAGCTTCATGTGATCCCGTTGAAGCCTCCTCTATTAGCTGAGGAAGACTGAAGAGAGGAACAAGACTACACTCTGAATTTAAATTTGCTCCCACTGAAATTGGGGCACCACTTTTTTTGAAGAGAAACTATGAAACCAAATGAATGAGTCTGATATTCGGAGGTAGTTATGCTCTCAGTGCAGGTATCTTGTTTCTGTTTTAAAAAGAAGGTACAAGATGAGGATATGATTTTAACTAAACGCTACAAGTAAGAGAATAAATGAAGAATTAATGAACATATAACGAAAGATGTGATTCAAGTAACAAATGCTTGAATGTGGGGCTGCCCACCTGATGGCCTCACTCCAATAGATGAAGCAGACATTTCTAGAGAGCTCTGGCAAACAGAGAACTTGGCAGATAGTGCCGCCTCTCTGCTGGTGTCTTGGTCTGTTGAATCAAAGACTCTCTCCTACATTTACTTTCTTTAACTAGACTTGTGAAATTGTCCTAAAAGTGGAGGTATCATAAATTCCCAAAATACAATCAAACACAGCCAAAAACAATAAAAGCCTGTGCTCGCTCAGTTTAACATCATCGCATATATGACCACACAATTTCTCACTTTGACAGAGTTTGTATAGTTTTTGGACCTAAAATCGCACAAAACATTGCATCACATGATTTGATCAAGCCGGCCTTTTATCCGATGAGATCCTTATTGGTAGTGGCGTGGGAATTACATCTAACTAAATATCCCACATCTAACTCCTGGAATGCCAGCATTTTGTGTGCAGGCGACTGTATGTGAGAGAATCAGCTACGTTCATTAAGTGAAACTTCTCTCATATATTTGTGATCATTAAGACTTTTAAGATCGCAAGTTTACACTAAGAAATAATT